AAGTTGAAGAAACTAATGGAACTGTATTGACTGGGTCCACTCCAGTCCACTCCACTATATAATTTCAACTCAACCCTCACTGCAGCAAGGCAATCCTTTTCCACTTTCCTAACTCGTTCACTGGCCACAATGGCTCTTCTAAACCTTTTCATCCCTCCTCAAACTTCCCATGGCTCTCCTCCCCACCCTCTCAGCTGAGAGCCCTGCCTCATATTTTACTGAAAAAACTGACCAAGATAATTGGTCACCAAGAGTTCTGTCTTTCTCCCTCCTCCTCATTTTACATCATTGAGAAGATGCCTTCTGCTACTATCTCTTCCTTGAGGCCTGTCTCACATGAAGAGGTGATCTTTTCCTTGCCAAAGAAAACTCTTACATGCACTAGACCTCCAATTCCTTCCATCTCCTCTAGCAGATGATGCCCCCCCTCTATCATCCCCATTCCCTCACTAATCTTCCATCTCTCCCTATCTACTGGTTTGCTTTCCAGCTACCTCCAAATATGCCTAGGTCTCTCCCATCCTCTCCCCTCATCCTCTCTTAATCCATCCATTCCCCACTAGCTATGGTCCTCTATCTCTCCTCCTTTTTGTGGTTAAATTCCTTGAGAAGGCCATCTATAATAGATGCCTCCACTTTCTATATTTTTGCTCTTCTTAAATCTCTTCAGTCATTTGAATCTCATTTGATCATTCAACTTAAACTGCTCTTTCCAATGTTACCGTGATCTCTTAATTAGCAAATCCAATGGCTTTTTCTCAAACCTCATCCTTCTTGACCTCTCTGCAGCCTTTAACATTGTCAATCACCCTTTTCTCAGTGATACTGCCTTCTCTCTAGCATTTTGTGACACTACTCTCTACAGGCTCTCCTCCTACCTGTCTGACCATTCCTTTACAATCTATTTTGCTGGATCTCCATCCAGTTTGCACCTACTAACAATGGCTGTACAATGTAACTCTGTTCTAGATCCTCTTCTCTATTCTATCTACACCGTTTCCCTTGGTGATGTCATCAGAGCCAATGGATTCAATAATCATCATTATGCAGACAATTCTTAGATCTATTTATCCAGACCTGGACTTTCTCCTGACCTCCTATCTCACATCTCCAAATGCCTATTGGATATTTTGAACTGGATTTCCTATTGACACCCAAAACTCAACATGTCCAAAATGGAACTCATCTTTCCCTCTAAACCCTCCCCTCTTCCTAATTTTCCTATTACTGTCAGAAACAGCCTTCCAATCACTTAAGACTCACAACCAAGATATAATCCTCAACTCTTAACTCTCTCTCTCATCTCCCATATCTAATTAGTTGCCAAGGCCTGTTGACTTTACCTTCATAATATCTCTTTTATACTGACTTCTCTGACACTGCCACTACCCTAGAGCAGATCGTCATCACCTCACACTTAGAGTATTACAGTAACTTTTTGGTTTGTCTCCCTGCTTTAAGTCTCTTCCTACTCTAGTCTATCCTCTACTCAGCTGTCAAATTAATCTTCTTAAAGTGAAGGCATGACCATGTCACTTTGCTATCCAAGAAACTCCAGTGACCTCCTATCACCTCCTGAATCAAATATAAAATCCTCTGTCTTTAAAACCCATCATCTATTCCCTTCCTACCTTTCTAAACTCCTTAAATCTTATCTCCATGTACTAAAATATATAGTGATACTGGCTTCCTTGTTGCTTTATACTAAATAATAGATCAATTTTAATAAAGAATTAGATACTAAAAACTATAAATTCTTGTTCCTTTCACTTGTTTATTCCTGTCTGATTTAGACCTTAAGCCTTCTGGTCAAGAGACCATGTTAAACTTATGTTTTACTTAACCTTTTGAGGTTTTTAAAAGGTCTATCACTTGAACCCACAAAAGACATTATTTATTTTCATCTCTTAATAACCCATTTTTCTGAGTCTTCATATCTAAAGATGATTAAAGAGCCTAATGAATTTTTCATACTACATACAGCAATTTTTCCCATTCCTACAATGTTGTATATAAGAATAGTGACCATATTCAACTCAAAATTAGGCCATACAGTCTGACAAAGGAATTTTAAAATATCATTTCTGGATTTATTTCAGGAGAGACAGGAAGAATATCTAGGGCAGACCAAACATACACAGAAGAGGTCCATGCTGAAGGTAAGAAAGGGCACCAAGGAATCAGTTCTCAAAATATCTGAAAGAGGGGAAGAAGCCAAAAGATCAGAAAACATCATTATAGCTAGCAAACATTATAGCTAGCAAAGGAAGATATCAAATAACTACCAACCCATAATTCTCATCTTTATGAACTATATATTAGAAAAATTTATACATCTATTGAAGGCATCCTGGATGAAAATATAAGATGAGAACAGGCAGGCTCTCACAAATGACATTCCAAGATAAACCATATTTTTATAATAACACAGTTGACCCAAAGGTGCCAGAACATAAGATCCTACTGTGCTTACTATATTTATGAGATTCTTTGAAAAATGCGACAACTGAGATAATTTTGTTTTCTGTACCTTTCCTTATTAGTAGCAATGGAAGTAAAAAACAGAGAGGCATACACTGACTAAAGGAAAATGCTATCCACATCCAAAGAAAGAACTATGGAGTTTGAATACATACTATTTGCTGGGTTTTTTTCTTCTGTTGTGTTTTGTTTTATCTTTCTGGTGGTTCCTCCTAGTGGCTGTTTGCAGGTGATAATATGGGGGTTGCAACAGGTTTCAGAACATTGCAAAGACTCCTAAGTGAATCCATAATCACTCAAAACAGTTTGCTCTAGCTTTCCACACAAGAGAAGCCCAGTAAATGAAGAATATCTTGTTGTTCAGATGATGTTATATATTTGGATGGATAGCCTATATAGAGTGGATTCATTTTTAAACATATATCTCAGAAAGACACAGCAAATATACATTTAGCTGGGACCCAGAATGGAATAGGAAAAAGATAGCCATCTGGATTGCATTTGGGAAATTTGGACCCCTAGAAGAGCTACCCCAGGTTCAATGATCCAAAGATTTTCCTTGAAACAAAACGCCATTTTTTTAACATCAATATTCTATTGGTGATGCTATCTGCCCATAAATCATGCAATAATACAATCTCCAATATTTCAAAACTTCAAGTTATCTAAAGGGCAATAGAGAGGTACAAGGTGGGCACAAATAGTCTGTATAATATAATCAATAATTAATTGCACAAAAGAATTGGAAATTGAGGGGATGCCCATCAGTTGGGGAATGGCTGAACAAGTTGTGGTATATGAATATAAGGAATACTATTGTGCTATAAGAAATGATGAACAGGCTAACTTCAGAAAAACCTGGAAAGACTTGTATGGTCTGATGTGAGTGAAGTGAGCAGAACCAAGAGGACTTTGTACACAATAACAGCCACGTTGTTCGATGACTAATATTGATAGACTTAACCTTTCTCAGTAATACAAGGATCTAAGACATCTCCAAAGGCCTCATGATGGAAAATGCTATCCACATCCAAAGAAAGAACTATGGAGTTTGAATACATACTATTTGTTGTGTTTTTTTCTTCTGTTGTGTTTTGTTTTATCTTTCTGGTGGTTCCTCCTAGTGGCTCTAATTCTTACCTACAACATCACTAATGTAAAAATATGTTTAATAGGAATATATATGTATAGCTTATATCATATTGCATGCCATCTTGGAGAGGGAGGTGGGGAGGGAAGGGGAGAAAAATTTGAAACTCAAAAGCTTATGGAAGTAATTGTTGATAATTCAAAATAAATTAATTAAAAATTTTAAAAAATAGCTGCACACAGAAAGTGACATAAAAGATGTTATCAAAGCAACATATGACTAGAAAGGGAGGTGGGCTGGTCATACTGGGAGAGTAGGTGATAAGGGATGGACAACTTGTGTTTTGCATTGTTAATTCACATAACATTAAGAGATCCCACAGGAAAGGCCCCTACTATGTTGTGTGCGTACCCTTTGGAGGACATGGACAAGAGTCCCACAGGATGAGAAGGCATAGTTGATCTGGAGAGAATACTCACATCAATGGAGTTGCAAATTCATTGAAGTAAATTTATTTCACAGCTTGACCACATTTAAATACCTATTATGATGCTTCATTATGATTTGGAAGTGATAAATGGGTTGTCAGTGGTAATGTCATTGCAGCACAAGCTCTTACACTTCCTAACAAGGTGGAAAGGCTTTCCCATATGAGTTCTAACCTGGTAATAGACCATATGTCTGTGATCAGAGAACCTAGCTAAGTGCTGAAAGGCTCATCACCAAAAGGCTGACCACCAGATGATGATGATTATTATTATTTTTACTGCTGCAAATCACAAATACTTCAGCAAAAATGGATTGCAATCTGCATAGGCTGAAGGAATACCAGTAAAATAATGGCTCCTTAAAAAAGAGTAAATTTATTTATGTGAAAAATCAACAGGAAAAATATTTGAAATCAGGATTGACCCTGGAAATTCAGGACAGATGGTCACTGTATAAGTAGGTCATGGGAATAAAAATTAATTGATTTTAGTATATTTTTGCTTGATAACCTTGAATTCATTCCTTTAATCATGCTTTGGAAAAAAGAACAAAAGGTAGTTCAGGGATACTAAAGGTTTTAGAAAAAGAAGTAATATAGACCCCCTCCCCATCATCCCAATCTTTTATTTATTGATTGATTGATTGATTGATTTTTTTGGCTAGGCAATGGGGTTAAGTGGCTTGCCCAGGGTCACACAGCTAAGTGTTATGTGTCTGAGGTCAGATTTGAACTCAGGTCCTCCTGAATCCAGGGCCAGTGCTCTATTCACCTAAGCTGCCCCCATCTCAATCTTCTTTTAAAAAGCACTTGGGCATTTGAAGGAAACATATCTGATCTTTTCAAGAAAATTTATATTAACTTCCTCTGTTACCTCTGGACATTCTCTTCTGTTTTGAGGACATCTACGTAAGAGAAAAAGGTTAAGTTTGCTTTACCCACCTGCGGGGGACTGTAATAACCAGGAATTCGTTGATGGGTTGATTCAAAGTCACCTGTGTATACAAAGAATTAAATGCATATTTTCACAAATGAAAAAAAAGTGTAAATTCAATATGCCAAGTCATCAGAATATTTACAATCATACTTTAAAAGATTATTAGTGCTTAGAAAAACCGAAAATGAAATTTGAATAGTAGACATCTATATGGTGCAGGAACTTTATATATAGCATTCCACTTGATTCTTGTGAGGAACAGCTGGCTTTTGTGTAAAGAATGTCACACTTGGAGCTAAAAAATTAGTTTCAGGTTCTTCCTAAAGAGGAGGGAGCTGGGTGTTTTGAGAAGAAAGCTATTCATATGCTCCAAAGAATGATAGTCAGATTCACAGGTGTTGTCAGACATAAAATCATCTGGTAAAGGTCAAAGTAAGAAAAGAGAATCGTGGTAGTTGGTGAGGCCTTGTTAGCTCTGTGGCAGCATTTCATCCCAGCCATAACAGATAATCTCTTAAGATCCGGAAAAGAATGGATGCCTATGGCTCACTTCTGGTGATTCACATAGGTACAAATGATCCTTACTACCAAAAGATGCCTAGAGAATTTTGTCAAAGTTTAAAAAAGTCCTAGGCAAGAAACTAAAGACCACAGGGACACAGGGGGTGTTTTCAATCACTGTTACCCACTGAAGGCAAAAGATGCAGAAGAGAAAGCAGAATCAGAAAATGAACAAATGGTTAAGAAGATGGTACCTAAGAATTTAAACTTCTGAATTCTGGTTCAAAACAGAGGAAAGGCAGATGCCAGGCCTGGGATGGGGTGAACTTAACAAGATTAAATTCAGCAACTAGCTCACAGTCATCTTTTCCATTAACCAATATCCCTTTTTAAGCATCCTGGCCTCCCAATTCTTCAACCTCCTAAATTCCCATGATCAATAACCTTTATCTCTAGCCTAGTCATGCACAGAAATAGCCATATGACAGAAAACTCCCTCACGCAACTGAATTTTACTCAGGTGCTAGAATTCTTAATTATAACTATGGATGTAGGAATGCAATGTTCAAAGTCCTCAATTTAATTTTTCAAAATATTATAAACCCTCCTGGCTAAAAGACAGGGAATGAAGGTTTAAAGGAGGAGAATGTATGTTTCAAAATATCAGTATTTATTTTTAGAATCAATCAGAAATTCAGTAGTATCACTCCTCTAACTGGTTTCACTTGTCCCTTAAAACTTATTTATAATAGGTCAACTTGGGCTGAATTACAGAACTCCCATAACAGAACTAGCAATTCTGGTGCCTAGGAAAAGCACCATAAAACATTCTATAGCGTGTGCAGTAGGAAAGTCACCCTTAAATGAACCTTTAAAGTTAAATTTAGCTAGAGGTAGGGATTCTCAGGGTGATAGCCTAGTCTTCAGGATGCCAAGCTCCATGGGCAGACAGACTATGCAAACTGTATTGCTATGGGGAGAAAAGAGTCTCCAAGACTAGTCCATAAGACTAGTTTCTATAAAGGCTGCTGTTAAGAGGAGGGAGAAGGGTGAGACTGGGTCAGGGATGGGATGTAGTTAGAAGGGAAAGCAAGACCACCATTTCATTCAGTTATTCTTGCAAATTAGGTTCTAAGCTTATTTGTTTTCACCTGCCAAAGGAGTACAAGTACTGTGATCCTCTAAATTTCAATATCTTGGGACAAAGGCCTTATGATCCTCTAACTAGTCCCACTTCAACCGAAAGTCAGTAACAGAGATTTCCAGGCTTTGGCCCAGCCTAGGTTCTAGGTCCCTTCAAAATAATAATAATAATAATAACCCCAGCGCCTTGGATTTAAAGGAAAGCCATAGTGAGACTAGGCTAATGATACCAAATAATTCCAACATGCAGAAGTACCTACTAACCCTATTAAGTTTATATAAATCTGCATAGGATTCTATTATCTAACTACATTTTTGTTCAGAACCAACTACTTCTCAAACAATTTGACAAAACTAATTTTATCTGTAAAATAAGCTGTATGTATGAATGGAATGGAATATCAATGTGCAGAAAGACATGACAAGTCCCAGAAATTCAGAGAAACATGAGAAGATTTGTATGAACATTAAATGAAAAGATTCTTAAAATGAAAATGAACTTTGAAGTCACTGAAAACACAACCTTGGTGCAAGAGATTAGATCATGACACCTGTTTCCCTCTTCTCCAAAGAACCTATGAGGGCAGAATACTGTATTTATTGTCAGACACAGTCAATGGATCACATGTTTTTGTTTTTTATAAATGAAGTTTTCCAGAAATGACTGTGATATAAACATAAATAACACTGATGAGATTTTTTTTTAAAAATTGAGGTCATTGTTTGGACATAAATAATGGTTAACATTCAGCTACTACAATATATGTATAAAATTGTTACATATGTAATAGTTTATTCTATTTTTTATCTCAGTTTAAAACATTCTATTAATCAAGACAAATTTTATTTGATCACCTTTAAAGGATTATCTTAACCACCAATTATGAATTCAATTCAAGTAAACAAATATTTATGTCTAAGGTACTATGCTAGGTATTGGTGATTCAAAGATGAAAATCAACACAGTCCCTGCCTTCAAAGAGCTTAAAGTCTACAAGGAGTTGTATGATATGTCCACAGATAAGCTCAACAAAAGGTTGAATGTGATAGAGACACAGGAGTTAGCACAGATGTTCTTGCTGTTTTTGGTTTAGGACAATGAATTGCTTGTGCCTAAAGAGGACAGGCCTTTGCAGAAGGATATCAGCAAGTGTTGGGCAAAGGAGAGAGGGAACACACATATTTTATACAGTTTTGAGCTTCTTTATTTTAAGGAGACACACTCTGAGAAGAAGGTAGCATTTTTATCCTCAGCATAGTACATTCTCAAAGATGAGAGCTATATTAAATCCTGTGTGAAAGTGTTGTGTAATGGATAGAGGGCCTGCTTTGGAGACATTAACACCTAGGTTTTAAATCTTGCCTCTGACAAATACTAGTTTAACCTTTCAATGACATGGATAACTCTAAGAAGACTCTCTAAGTTGCAAATGAATTGCTGCTCTGTATGGGAGTTTCCATACTGGGAGTTCTCTACTGATGAAATACCACTACCTTGGCTTCTACCTCCCTTCACCCCCCCCCCCAATTCTATAACATTTATAAGTGGTTTTGAGACTCTGGAGAGAAACTTTTCTTCCTGAATTTAAAAACAAAATTAAGGCTAGTTCTACCCTTTGAGTTTAGGAGAGGATACCATATCCCCTCCTAAACTCAAAACAGATAAAAACTATTGTTTTTTTCTCTTTGGATTCTCCAAGGCACTTAATTTATGCATTTCCTTCCTTAGCTGTTGTTACAGGTATATTTGTGGCTGTATGTCAAATGAAGATAGTCTATTTACTGATTTTCCATGTTGAAATTGATATGTTAGGGGAAAAGATGCCCAAATCATAAATCTGCATATCCTACCTCCCTGCCTCTTGTTTTTATCACCTCCCTATCCCCTCCTAAAGAGGGTTGTGAAGGCCCAGAAATACATGATAGAGTGACAGAATCACAACATTTTGGAGTTGTAAGGGATCAGAGACCACCTTATCCAAATTATACTTCCTTTCAGGAATTTTTTCTACCTGATATCTGACACCTGGTCATCACCTTTGTTGAAATACACAAAATAAAGGGGAATCCCCTCCTCCTAAGTCAGCCTGTGTCACTTTTGTATATTTCTTATTGTCAGGAGATTGTGCCTTAAATCAAGCTTAAATTTGCCTCTCTGTAACTTCTACCACTGCTACTAGCTTTGCCTTCTAGGGCTAAGCCTCTCCTGGGTGCCAACCTTTCAAATACTTAAAGGACAGGTGTCCTTGCCCCATCCTGAAAAGGCTTCTGTTCCCCAGGGTAAACACATCAAGTTTGTTCAGCTGATCCTCCTATCGAGTTGATTTAAGCTCAGGCACCATCTTCACTGTCCTGCTCTGGATATTTGCTTAATGAAGTCCTTTCTAAAATGTGGTGCTCAGGATTGGATGCAATATTCTTAGCACAGATGTGTGGTCTGCCCATAGTAGAGTACCATGACTTCTTTATTACTGGATGCTCTGCCTCTCTAAGTGCTGCAGCACAAAACTGCATTAATATTGTTGGTTGCCATATCACACTGTTGTTGTATACTGAGCATGAAATCTACTCAAAATCCCAGATCCTTATTTTTAAGATAAATTGCTGTCTAGACACTTTTCTCCCACCTTAAACTTGTGAAAGAAACCATTTTAACTCAAGTGTAAAACTTTATATTTATCTCTACCAATTTCACCTTATGAACTAGCCCCATGTTTTAGCCTGTCAAGATCTTTCTGAACCTGGCCTCTTCCATCCAGTGTATTAGCTATGTGTTTCCCTACTTTGTGTCATCTACAAATCTGGTATACTCTCCTGATTAGACAAAAACTGTACTGAGTGTTCAGTATTCAATATCTCACTTTTGTTCTCCATGAGAAGGAGAATAGATTCTACCCTGTTTCTGCTGCCTATGAAGAATGCTGAAAGTAAGTCCCAACTTAGTGGTACAGTGTAAAAGGAAGTGCTCGCTTTTATACATCCAAGGCCTGGATATCACATGATGTTTCTCAAAATGATACTGATGAGAACATCTCGTGTTAAATTATGTTTATAGTAAGATAAGGACAGAGACTATATTTAGTGAACTTCCTTTGCACCATGTCTAGGAGGGTCTCATTCAGTGTTCATTCACTCTGCATTTATTTATGCACTACAAGTAATACTGCTGCTGTTGAGCTTCTTGAAACACGGCCTTCCAATGTAGCTTTTGCTTGGTAGTCAATGAACATATGTAGAACTAAGTGACTTTTAAATTTCTTGATATCTTCTTTTAGCAAATTTTTGTGTTGTTTACGTATAGTGATTAGAAGGCTTACTTTTGCTTGGAGGGGTTGAAGCATCCCATAGCATACTCTTTTTCTTCATGTTTTTCTTGGCATCTTTGGATGCCTTCCAGTTCATTAGGAACTGTCTTTCTACTTGTTTTATTTCTTTCCCGTCAAGACTTTCTGGAGAAAAAACATATACTTTAAAAACCAGATATTAAATTTAAAAGTGCTTTATTTATACTGCTTAAAATTTATATTAATGAAATTTTACTTAACATTTTTGTTTTCTTAAGGAAAAACCAAATATTTTATCATACATTACAAATTAGCATCTTGTTTTACATATGCAGTATAATGATTTTAATTAATAAGAAGTTATTTAACATTTTACGTGTAAAAGAAACCTAGGGCAAGTTCCTTAACTTTTCTGGCTCTCACTTTTCTCTTCCATAAGATTCTACAATTCCGAGGAAAAGCCCATATAGTGGTAGAAATTAAAACAAAACAATACATACTTACCCCAAATTTCTACCAATATAATTTAACTATTTTTCTCCCACTAGGCAGAGACATTTCACTACAGGAATTAAGATCATATGCATATCAAGGACAACTGTAGGCAGTTCACAGTAACTGCATTGTAAGTACCAAATAATTTAACTGTGTGGCCAAAGAATTCAGTATCTATTGGCTAAAATCCTTGTGATAAATCTCTCCCTATTCAATTTGGCTGGTCCTTGTCAGGGATTAGGTGTGTTCTATTCCTGGGACCACACTTGAAGCTTTTCTATTTGATTTCTACAATATGTTAGACGACTGAGCAACATCTCCAGAAGTATTTGCACATCAGGTAAAGAAATGAAGGGGTTGTGATCTCTTCTGGAATATGCTAGAGGAAATACATAAAAATATGTCACAGACACATTACCTATTTTCACATATGTCTGATCATCAATGATAATTATGAAACTAATAAAAATCATTTTATATTCTTTATATAATTCCTGTTTTCAGGTCTTCTAAGAATAGCATACATGGCATGGTATATAGCAGTTAATAATTTAATTTATGATTAATGATGGTATACCATCATCATAACAAGAACTGGATGCATTTGCCAACACAACAGAGACCTTTCAATACCCACTTATTTGATAAGAATAATAGCAAAGGATGGTCTTTGGGAGTTGATGGGAAGCACTTTAAGAATAGTATTACGGAAAGAACGTGATTTTAAAATAGACTGCTCTGGGCAAAAATGGAAGATGGAAAGCTTTCCCTGTCTTTTTGTATATTAAATTGCCCCCTAGATAGCTACAGAGTTTCACTAGTAAATGACATTTAGATAAAACTAAACCTGTTACTAAAAATAAATGAGTTAGTTTCTAGGTTATAATTAACTCCTATTTATTTCTTTGGTGTCTGAGATAGATTTTGTCATATTCTTGGATGTCCCCAAAAAGCAATGCTCACATTTATATAGTGTATATTAGTTCATTCCCTAATTTGTGTTTTTTTTCCTATTTTGATAATTGATCCACTTGCAATTTATGGTGTTATATGCTATAAGATACTGGTACAGTCCTATATTATGGTTAACCGTTACCTAGTTTTCCAAGCAGTTTGTTAAATAATACTTTCCCCACTCTTTTGTGTTATGTGGTATATTAACATAATATAACTATATGCATTTAGTTCTAAATTTCACTTATGTTTTTGTTCTGATCTACTTTTCTATTTTCTTACCCAATGCTTGAAAATTTTGATAATTACTACTTAATGGTAAATCTGTAAGCATAACTTTTCTCATTATTTCCCTTCATATTCTTGACATTTTGTTCTTTCATATGAATTTTGGCATTATTTTTCTAATTCTATGAGGTATCATGGTGGTATTTTGATTAAATAGTATTTTCCTGTGTTAAATGTATAGATTTACATAGTATTATCTTTTTTTTTTACCATATTATGAATACTGAATTGATTAATTTTTCCTTTATTTCCATAAAATTTATTTTGTAATTGTACTTATATAGATCTTGTGTGTTCTTGGTAGGTTAATTCTCCAATGTTTTTTCCATTATACTATTACATTAAATGATATTTATAATTTTTTCCTGATTTGTTAGTGATATATAGAAATATGGATGGGTTTTGATTTATAAATGTATAAAACCTATAAAACCTTGGGATAGCTGTAGTGGGAGTAGTATCCTTATTCTACACATAAGGAAACTGAGGTTCATAGAGATTAACTTGCCTATAGTAGGACTGCTAGCAAATACTGGGGTCAGTACTCAATACCAGACGTTTCAAATCCAAGTTCATTGATGTTTTTTCCACTATATTTGTTGTCCTCTCTAACTACACCTCTCCCTTCTCCCCCAATACAGAAATCTCTTACTTAACACAGATAATTTCTAGTAAAATGAATTTGTACTGTGAATGCTTTTCTATTGACTTCCATTTCCAATCGGAAATGAGTGCCACCAAAAAAAAATAGAATGTAGATGTAAATAAATAAGGTAAACTCATGCAAAAAACACTAAATCATATTCTTATAAAGTAAAACTTGTGATAAAACATTAATAATTCAAAGAATTAATGATAATGCTTAACATTAATACTATATCTACTTTAAAAAAAAGTCACAAAATTTCTGAAAATGAAGTTAGAGTTTAGAATCAAAAATTCTTGTGGTAATGATTCTCTCTTTTACCTTGATTCCAGTTATTGTTAAGACAGCATATATTGACTAAGTGTCTTACATAATTAAATCCTCAACACTCAGCTTTGCTTAATACTCAGACATGTTTATTGTCACTCTTCCAATATACTTATTGTCCCTTTTCTGGATCCTATTCTGGTAAGATACATAGTTTCTTAACGTGTTCTTGGATAAAAGAAAGTAGTAATACAAAAACATTAGATAATATTTCCTGAGCACCTTACAAGGAATGAAACATCTAATCCTTGCCCCATAATTAGATAATCATTAGTGATTTAGTAGATTCTGACTCTGTGGAGATTTTTTGGGGGGTGGCTAACCTCTTGAAGATTTATTAAGATATTAAAAAGGGGTCATTTCACCTGGCAAAATGTTGCTACTGATTAGGTGGGGTAGGAGAGTCATGAGTACTGGGCAAAGATCAAGGGCTTCTTTAAAGGAACTTCATTCTTAATACTGAATTTTAAACGCATAGTAGAAAAATCAGTGACTCAGACTGATATTATATATTTTGAGCACCATACCAATTTTAAGAAAGTGGTTCTCACAATCCTACCTAAGCTAATTTACTTATTCAGTGCCATACCAATCAAACTACCAAAAAGTTATTTTATAGAGTTAGAAAAAATAATAACAAGATTCATTTGGAAAAACAAAAGGCCCAGAATATCAAAGGAACTAATGAAAAGAAATGCAGGGGAAGGTGGCCTAGCAATTTCAGATCTTAAATTGTATTATAAAGCAGCAGTCATCAAAACTGCTTGGTACTGGCTAAGAAATAGGGAGGTGGATCAGTGGAACAGGCTAAATATGCACGACACAGTAGTCAATGACTATAGTAATCTATTATTTGATAAACTCAAAGACCCCAGCTTCTGGGATAAGAACCCACTCTTTGAAAAAAACTGCCGGGAAAACTGGAAAAGAGTATGGCAGAAACTAGGCATAGACCCAAATCTCACACCATATACGAAAATAAAGTCAAAATGGGTTCAGGACTTAGATATAAAGGCTGATACCATAAGTAAACTGGAAGAACAAGGAATAGTTTACCTATCAGATCTATGGAGAACAGAAGAATTCATGACCAAACAGGAGATAGAGAACATTATGAAAAGCAAAATGGATAATTTTGATTACATTAAATTGAAAAGTTTTTGCACAAACAAAGCCAATGCAACTAAGATTAGAAGGAAGGTAGAAAATTGGGAAAGAATTTTTACAACCAGTCTTTCTGATAAAGGCCTCATTTCTAAAATATATAGAGAATTAAGACAAATTTATAAGAACACAAGCCATTCCCCAATTGATAAATGGTCAAAGGATATGAACAGACAGTTCTCAGATGAAGAAATTAAAGCCATCTATAGTCATATGAAAAAATGCTCTAAATCATTATTGATTAGAGAAATGCAAATCAAAACAACTCTGAGGTACCACATCACACCTATCAGATTGGCCAACATGACAAAACAGGAAAATGATAAATGTTGGAGAGATGTGGGAAAATTGGAACGCTAATACATTGTTGGTGGAGTTGTGAAATGATCCAACCATTTTGGAGAACAATTTGGAACTATGCCCAAAGGGCTACAAAAATGTGCATACCCTTTGATCCAGCAATAGCACTTCTAGGGCTATATCCCAAAGAGATCAAACAAATGGGAAAAGGACCCACATGTACAAAAATATTCATAGCAGCTCTTTTTGTGGTGGCAAAGAATTGGAAATTGAGAGGATGCCCATCAATTGGGGAATGGCTGAGCAAGTTGTGGTATATGAATGTAATGGAATACTATTGTGCTATAAGAAATGATGAACAGGCTGACTTCAGAAAAACCTGGGAAGACTTATATGGTCTGATGCTGAGTGAAGTGAGCAGAACTCAGAGGACTTTTGTATACAATAGCAGCCACGTTATGCAATGACTAAGAATGTTAAACTGAACCCTTCTCAGCATTACGAGGATCTAAGACATCTCCAGAGGCCTCGGGATGGAAAATACTGTCCACATCCAAAGAAAGAACTATGGAAGTCGAATCGCTTCACTTATTTTTACCTTGTTGAGTTTTGTTTCATCTTTCTGATGGTTCCTCTTATTGGTTTTAATTTTTACTTACAACTTCACTAATGTGAAAATATGTTTAATGGGTATGTAAATGTAAAGCCTATGTCAGATTGTGTGCCGTCTTGGGGGGGGAGGAGAAAAAGGGAGAAATTTTTTTCTCAACTCAAAAGCATATGGAAAAAAAAATTTAAAAAAAATTAAATTTAATTTAATTTAAAAAAAAGAAAGTGGTTCTCAAGTAGTAATTATCACAGAAGAATTGTATTCCCTTGCCTAGTTGGAAACTAGCTAATCAAAGCTTCTTATTCCCTGTACTTTGTTTCTATGAAAAGCAAATTAAAAGAAAATAAGTTTATACCAAAAAAACTCCAATCTATATGTTATCAGACTTAATCAGAAAAATCTGACACAAAGCTTTCCCCCCTCAATTATTTCCCTTCTAATTCTATAACACTGATTTTATTTATGCAGAAAAATTTAGATTTTATGTTAATTACTCCTGTGATCCTCTCCATTCCTAGTTTAGTCAAGAACTCTTCTTTAATCTAGAATTGTCAAACCTGGTCCCTTCTCTGTTCCTCTAATTTGTGATATGGCTTTTTATAACTAGGACATGCTTTTATTTGGAAATTATGACATGTGGTGGGGATGAGATATTGGTCTTCATTTAATTTCTGTCAGATTGCTTTCCACTTATCTTTAGTAAATCCAATAATTAGAGTCTTTGAGTTCATCAAACACCATGTTACTATGCTCAATTGCTTCTGGATTTTGTGCACCTAATACATTTCTCTGATTTTTTTCCATTTTTTAACTAGTACTAGATAGTTTTGATAATTGTTGCTATTTTTGAGATTTGATATTACTAGGCCCCCTTCCTTGCCACTTTTTTTCATTATTTCAGATATAGAACAAGAGGCATTCCCCAGTAGATATGAATAGAGAGATTTTTTAAAAAGACAAGCTATTAATAGCCAAATGAAAAAAAAATACTATAAGTTATTAATAAGAGAAATGCAAATTGAACACTCTGAGATTCTGTCTCACACTCACCATATTGATATAAAGATGACGAACGAGAAAAATGACAGTAGTTGGAAAAGCCATAGAGGGAAAGGCTCAAAAATGCATTGCTGGATGCAAGGACCTCCAAAATCTCATGATGGAAAATGCTATCCACATCCAGGGAAAGAACTATGGAGTTTGAATGTAGGTCGAAGTGTACTGTTTGCTCTTTTTTTTTCTTGTTTTGTTTTGTTTCTTTCTTGTGGTTCCTCCTATTGGTTTTAATTCTTCTTTACAACATGACTAATGTGAAAATATGTTTAATAGGAATGTATATATAAAGCTTATATCAGATCACACACTGTCTTGGGGAGAGGGGAGGGAAAGGAAGGGAAGAAAATTTAAAACTCAAAAGCTTATGGAAGTGAATGTTAAAAACTAAAAATAGATTAATAAAAAATTTAAAACAAATTAAGACATTGACAAAAAATGCATTGCTGGTGGAGCTGTGAACTGATCCAACCATTATGGAAGAAAATTTGTTATGTCTCCAATGTCACTAATATGTGGCTACTCTTTGACCTGGTGATATCACTACCAGTCATACTCCAAAGAAATTTTTAAAAAGAGGGAAAGGGCTCATAAACACAAAAACATTTTCAGCAGTCTTTTTTGTTATAGCAGAAAATTAGAGAGAGGTGGATACCCATCAATTGAGGAAAGGATGAACAAATTATGGAATATGAAGGCAATATAATATTGTACTGTAAGAAATGATGAAAGAGATGAATTTAGAAAAACCTGGGAGGACTTGAGAAATGAGCAGAACCAGGAGAAAAGTGTCTACGATGGCTGTAACATTGTAAAGGAAAACAACTGTTAAACGCTTTAGAACTATGAACAACACAATAAGCAATTGTGATTCCGAAGACTGATGATGAAGTATTCTTTCCACCTCTCTGTAGAGAGGTGAGGGACTAGAGAGGCTAAGAACTTTTTCAAAAATTAGACTTGTTTTACTTGCCCATACTTCTTTGTTATTAGGGGGGGATTTTTTTTTTTTTGGAGTGGAGGTGGGAAAGGGGAGGGATTATGGGAGTTAGTAGGGCTTAGTGATAGTGACACCAAATAAAAGAAGAAAAGAGGTGTCAATGAAACATTAAAAAAAACAACACCACAGAAAACAACAAACGAAGTTCAGAAGAGTTCAAAGAGGACATTGTTGAAACAAGCATGTAAATTTTAACATGTCTTGTTAAAAAATAGGCTGTGTATAATAATAAAGTTTTATGGTGTCAAATAGAGTGCTCTTTCCTGTTCTCTGTATAAGGAAATTTTATATCTGTTGATGTTTGTCAGGTTCATAATGATAAAGGAAACTAAAAATAAAAATAAACTAAAATACCTTAAGCAGCAAGTAAGTACTTTTCTCCACCTACTACAGTTAGAATATAGCATTTGAAGATTTGCTGTAAGGAATGAAGGAAGGATCTCTAAAATAAATTCCCCTTTAAATAGGGATCAGTATTATGGTATCATAGATTTAGAGCTGGAAGAGATCTTAGAGTTCCTCTAGCCCAACTGTTTTCTTTTACAGAAGAGGGAACAAAGATCCAGAGAAGTTACATTACTTTCCCAGTGTCACACAGGTAGTAAGTAGCAGAACCAGGACCACATTTTGCCTATATTATCTTTTTTGATTCTCACCATAACCCTGTGGGCAAGGCATTATTATTATTGTCATCATCACCATCATTATTATTATCGCTCCCATTCATTTTACAACTGAGGAAACTGAGACTCCGAAAGGCAAAAGGACTTGCCCAGGGTCACACAGCTAGGAAGCATCTGAGGCAAGATTTGAACCAGGTCTTCCTGATTCCAAGATCAATATTCTTGCTTCCACATGAGGCTGTTCTTTCCACTGAAGAATGCTACCTCACCTAATAAGCTAGTATCATCTAAGTGTTGAAATAACATGAAGTTCAACTTATTATGACTTATCTATAAAGTCATAAGATGATCTTAAATTGTTGTTCTTGTTGCTCAGTCATTTTCAGTTGTCTCTGACTCTCTGCAACCTATTTGGGCTTTTCTTGGAAGAGCTACTGGAGTCGTTTGCATTTTCCTTCTTCAGCTCATTTTCTAGATGAGGAAACTGAGGCAAACAGGATTAAGTGATTTGCCCAGGGTCACACTATATTTAAACTCAGGTCTTCCTGTCTCCAAGACAGGCATGCTATCCACTGTGCCACCTAGCTGCCCCATGATCTTCAGAAGGAACCCAATAAACGATTGGCTAAACAACAGAAGTTGTCAAATGCTTATTACTCGTGACTTTCCTTGAGAGCTCTTTTTAAAAGCAAGATGTTCTATTGTAATATCAGCAATTATGATGTCAGTAAATATTTCATACCCTCTTTCTCCTTTTTAATTATTAGGGTCAAAACTTGCTAAGAATAATAAATATGGTGGTACAGTGGATAGAGCACTGGCCCTAGAGTGAGAAGGACCTGAGTTCAAATCCAGCCTCTGGGCAAGTCACTTAACCCTGATTGCCACCCCCTAAAATATTACTAAATATTTTAAAGTAGATAATTCACAGACATGAATGTCATGTTCATAACCATACAGGAAAGCTGATGAGCTATTAAACTAACAAACCCCCAAACTTGCTTATTTTTGAAAGAAAATGCTGTACATGTAATATAAGTTATTTTACCTAGAGATTTGGATATCAAGATCAGTCTGTCCCTGTATTTTGGCTTGAGGCAGACAGGATTTCCATTCAGATCCATTTTCCATAATTTGGGCAACCTGGTCAGTAACAGCTCCAAATCCTGTAATTATGAAAGGAGAAGGACACAGTATTCTATCACTACCAAAATTACATTAGTTAACAGTGTTCTAACATATTTTAATTATTTTGATTATTTTAATGTATTAGGTAATATTATAAACAATTATATTTTAATATATAACATATATAATTTTATGCATGATATTTTATGTTAGTTATTTCAATAGCATTTTAATATATATTACCTTCAGTTTTTAAAAAGGAATAAAATAAATTTAATATTTAGATGCCACAAAAGTTCATCTAACACCCATGTTATAACAACTTATATTTATATACTGTTTTTGAAGGTATTTAAAGCATTTTCCTTACAACTCTCTTAAGTAGATAGGAAAAATATTTATTATCTCCATCTTATAGAAGAGGAAACCAAAGCTCTGAAAAGTTAAATGATTCTCCTATGTTCTAATATCTAGTGAATATGTGAAATTGGATTAGAAGCTGGCTTCCCTGACTTCAAGTCCAATCCTTCATGCCAAACTGCCTCTTCCCATTTTCCTAGTGATGCTGCACAGCCATCAGTCATGTAACACCATTTGTTGTTCACTTGTTTCAGTTGTGTCCTACTTTTCATGACTTTCTTGGCAAAGATATTCAAATGGGGTTGTGTTCTCCCTGAGGTGGATGTTCCCTCTAACAATACAGATTGCCACCTGCCTGGACCTGCCCATCCTGGGTGACTTCTGTCCATATGCTTACCCCAGACCACCCACCCAACATTATGGGGGCCCTTCCACATCTTCTCCCGATATCATGAGAATACCTGCAGAGCAGCTAGACTAACCACCAGTTATCCCAGTTATCCTTAGCTCTTGTCATGTAATCAGTCCATCTTTTTTTGATCATACATTGCTCTGTTGGCATTCTTTACTCCAGTGTTTCCTTATAGTTCCATCATGTGGTGCTGCATGTCCACGCTCAATAAGGGCCTCTCCTAGACACTGAGTGATACTCACTCTTATTTGATGACTCACTGCCATACACCAACACCCCTAACCCCTCACCCTGCACCCCCTGATCTGGGAAGAATCAAAATGGCTGAAAGGCTGATGTAAAACACATTGTGGGTGGGTTTAAGTAGGCTGCAAATGTCATGAAGGATGATTTGACATATGACTACCTGAAAAAGGAGGTAGGTCGATAATGTAGTGAGAATGAGGGATAACATTTGAATATCCTGAGTAATCATAAAATATTAAAAGAACCAGAGGAGGGTTTCAGGTGCACTGGGTAGGTTCCCCTGTGGACATAGACAAAAATTGCACAAGATGAGCAAGTATGGAGGGATGCCGATGATATCATAAAAGCCACCGAATTAATTATATATAAACATGAATTTGATTCTAGTTCTCTTTCTAATTGTTATTGGGAAATATCAGGATTTTCTGCAGCTTGGCATAATCACAATTAAAAGGAGAGATCAGTTGCTAGAAGTCAGGCATCAAGATTGAGCCTAAGTGAAAATGTCAGTTTAGGGGCAGCTAGGTGGCACAGTGGATAGAGCACCGGCCCTGAAGTCAAGGAGGACCTGAATTCAAATGCAGCCTCAGACCAAACACTTGACACTTACTAGCTGTGTGACCCTGAACAAGTCATTTAACCCCAATTGCCAAAGGAAAAAAAAAAGAAAATGTCAGTTTACACAGATGTCCCATTACACAGTACTTCTACATAGAACCACAGAGGGTTAGAGAAAAGGTAACATTTGAATTTAATTCTGTGCGGCCCATTGGCCGTACTCTAATTCAGGGGTGGGAACAGGTAGCAGGCCCAAGATCTGTCTTCTCTTGTTTAAATTGATCTAGCCCATTTTAGAAGGAAAATACCGAAGGCAGAAATTATACAGAGAAGTTATAGTCAATATGTGTTCCTGCTATCTGCATTTGACTCAACAAATCACATATACAAAGTACTTTCCTCAGAATAGAGCTAGGAGGTTGTGACTGTGAGTAGTTTGAAAATCGTTCCAGAGGAGGAAACTGAGTTCAGAGAGATTCAGGTACTAGCCCATGGTGGCACAGTTCTCCCAAACTCCCCGTTTTTCTAAGATCAGGCTCTTTGCACACAACGCCTTACCATCTTGCATTAACTCCTACTTCTATCCCCTAATTCAAGTTCATTCCTTGGCCTTCAATGTCTGATAGCTTTTTATCAATCCTAACTCACTTCCTTTCAGCATTATTCTTTGTAGTAACCAAGTCTGCTGCCCACGTATCATCACCTTCCATTTTTGCTTATTTTTACCCTGCTTCATGTCAAAATCTTTTCTGCAAGGTGACTGTTTTAATAAGGTTCTTCCTCTTTCCCCCCCTCCAAATTCTTCCTGGAAAAATCACTTTATGTGAAGTTTCAATGGAAATCCCCTTTCTCACCTAAAAACATTTATTAAACACAAGTATTAAATATGGGAACTTTGACTGGATCTACATACTTAAACTATTCTGTTAAGACTTTTATCCTCTGTAATGCTGGTCAATAGAATTAAAGAGAAGCTGTTAACAAGTGAGGAAAAGGTAGAAATCTGAGTGTTAATAGGTGAGACCCTCTTAGGAAAACTTTTTTTTTAATTGAGCAGGGCCTCAGCCCTGTGCATTAGTTTATTCCCGATCTGATTACACACCTAGGCACTCAAATGTTTGTTCAGTGGACACATCTGTTTGATTCTAAGCAATGGCTATAAAGACTTCATTACCTCATATATTTTACATATAAATTATGCTGCATTATCCTTAGATTGGAAAACTTTTTGTCCCAAGACAAGAAGAGTGTATCATACTTTTGGACAATGCTGAAGACAATTAGCTAATAATAAACCAAATTAAAATCTATACAGCAACCTATGATTACTGAAACAGGCCTTTAGATTTTTGTTAACTTTTACTCGTTTGATAAATGACTCTGAACATATTTCCTCTGGTGTATATTTATCCAAGACTATACTAACCCTGTGCTGAAATACGATTATACTTTGGATACCCTCTGGTTGTTCATTGCCTTTCTGTCTTAAAGTGTTTTCACTTTCTAGCCTTTCAATAAGCTACGCTAAAGGGACCAGACACTTTTCTAGGCAGTCGGTTTGATAAATGATCATGTCATGCTATCACTTAGAGGTCTCCTGCAAAATACTGAAGAGCAAATTATATTTCACAGGCAAGAATGAGTGCCTTAGTGCCTCTGTGGACATCTGCAGCAAGGGCAATCGAATTCTGCACAATTAAGGATGGCCCTTTATAACCTGTATTTGACCAGTCTGTTCTCATCTTTATTGGAAACGTCTAGCTCCACTGCCCTCACTGTATCAACGCAGAGCAATTTGTCACCACTGTGACTACCTGTCATAATCTTCCTGAGAAAATCTATAATTTTCTCCTTGTTCCTGACTAAATTGTGAAGAGTATAAATTTATCTTTTGGACAATATTCTTGCCATGATCAATAATGAGCAAAGGCCAAATAAATTGAGACCTCAGAAAACATGACAGGCTTAGAGCAGTCTATTCATTTGTGTTCTATAAATCAAATATTTAGTCTGATGGATGAGCATGTTAATTTTTTTATTTCTACCATTTATCCTAAAGATAATATGTTACACAATAATATAATGACCCTAAAGCCAATAAAACAAATTTGATAAAACAACTAAAATCCTACTAAGGAATAAACTTGCAATTTATTTCAATTATATTGAGTTATTAAACTTTGCAGGCATAAAAGATTAACAAATATTTTTTCCATACTATCAATTTTTGTAAACTTTTAATAAGACTGGCTGGATCCATTTGATTAAAATAATTAGGCAAATGTAATTCTGGCCCTGATGTAGATTTTTTTGGATTTAAATTATATAATCAAATTACCTGGAAAATGTCCAAATTCTTACTTTTTGTTGCATAGACAAAATATTAGTTTTTTTTTCACTTAGTATTTTATTTTTCCCTAGTTACATGTACAAACAATTTTTAACATTCGTTTTTAAAACTGAGTTCCGAATTCTCTCCCTTCCTTCCTCCTCACCCCTCCTCCCCCATTGAGAAGGCAAACAATTCCATTTATATTATACACGTCTAGTCATGCAAAACATTTCCATAATAATCAAAAGCTTTTGTTTTATGCACAAATAAAAGTTTAGTAAAATAAATGTAGAAACCCAAAGTTAATTTTACTTCAACTAAAAGTATACATTGCCATTAACCTGCACAGTTACACTGGGTAGATCACTTAACTTTGTTGGATTCAAAATGAAGTGCTCACTGAACTAGGGAAATCCCTTCCTGCTCTAACATCCCAGGTTCTGGGTCACACTGGAGGCAATGTTTTCAAGGACAACCTACTGCTAAAGTCAAAACCATTACTTTCTCCACTCCTCCTTATTATTAATTCTAAAAGGGTAATTAAGTCAGAATGGGGACATAACCAAGTATGAGCCATTAATAAAGGTTTTTCTTAGTATAAAAACGTCTCTATGTTAAGGCATAACATATACTGTTTTCAAATCAGTGTTTTGGGGGGCAGAACTAATTCTTGGAAAGATCTGAGTTCAAATTTTGCCTCCGGTAATGGTGACATAACCCTGAGCAAGTCACTGACCTCCAGTTATTTCAGTTTCCTTATCTGTAAAATGGAGGTAATAATATCACCTACCTCTCAGAGTTGTTGTGATGATAAAATGCGATAATATTTGCAAATTGTGTTGAAAAACTTAAAGCCTTATATGTTAGCTATTTATTTCTATATTTAGACAGGCTCATCTGTACAATGCCATGGTAGACTCTGTGAATGAAAATATTTAGTTTGAATTGCAGTGGCCTATTGACATGGCTCTGCATGGACAGGCTTCCAGGATTATTGATTTTATTACTTGCTGGATCATTGTAATCCTTGAATTAGAATCTTATATAGCTTGGCAGGACTAATTATGCCAAAGTCATGCAGATATAAGTGCATTTATTGATTTCTTTCCATACAAATCCATTTACCATCATGTAGACAAGATCAGAATATATTCATGCCTATAAATGGAAGACCAACTGCATTATATTTTGGGGGGATCCAGACCTGCGATTTAATTGGCAATGGGCAATTAATTGGCAATTTCCCACTGAAAAGGCTCCTTTTACCAAGGTGGATCAGAATCTTCTCTGAAATTTATAATTGTCAAGTTGTCTGCGGGTCACTGAGAGGGTGACTTTCTCAAGGTTTATACAGCCAGGATGTGTCAGAGTCCAAACTTGAATCCAAGTCTTCCAGACTATATCCACTACATCACACTGCTTCTCCTACCAACCCATGGACTCATTTTACTTCTTATATATGTTTCTTTTTTTCCTGTAATGTGCTACAACTAAAAACCAAAAAACCTCAATAATTTCTCTTGTGTTATTTCCAACTTTCATATACATTACCTCCTTTGTACTTACTTTGTACTTACTTGACTCTACCATAACACAGATTTTCTGAATTGAAAATCTGCTAACTTTTGGAATACAAGATGTTCCTAGGCTGCTGTTTTAAATAAAGAACACAATTTTCCCGCATAAGCTTTGCCCATGATGGTTAGGTTCCCAGGCCAACCTCCAAAGACTACTGAGTCCATGATGGACATAAAAGAAGCAGCAGCTGGTGACATGCAATCAAGGTGGCCTCAGAGCTAGGACGACCTAACTCCAAGTCCTTGCCTCTTACACATCCTGGCTGGGTGACCCTGGCCCAGTCACAACCTTTCAGTGCCCTCATCAAGTTTCTTAAGATGCTAAGTTGCAGAGAAGGTGTCGACCTGAACTGGCAGTAGGAGTTCCTTCCTATACCAGAGAAATCACAGGTCCTATCCCTCTTCCTATCTCCTATGAACATGGAGAATGAAAAAACAAGATTTAAACACAGAAGTTTTGCAAAGGCCCGGCTTCAGGCTTGTAGATATTGCCCAAAGAGATTAAAAACCCATCTGCAATCTATTCTGGTTTGCTGATTTTCAGCAGGCATCTTTAGCTGTCAGTCTCTAAATCCTCTGGTTTGCTTTTCTCCAAACACTAAGTCGGTGACTGAGTTAGCTAACCAACCTTTCGGGAGACTCTGCATTGTTACACATGTAAGAGAGGAGACATCTGCAGCCACAGCCTCCATGGGGACAGAGCATCCCTTTGCTTAACCACTTTGCTAGTTCTCATAGCCTGAGCATGGGTCTGTTGTCTTAGGCATTCTGAACAACCTTTCTGAACATGTTTCTTTGTCTATAAAATCAGTATCACATGACATTTTGGAGGTTACCTAGGAGAGAATCAAATGATAGCTGCTTATGTTACATAAAATTTTAACATTTATTAATAACATACATTTATGCAGTGCTTTAAGATCTGTAAGTGCTTTATACATATTTGATTCTTACAATACGTGAGGCAATTGTTATGGGTATTTTTATCCCTATTTTACCGATGAAGAAACTAAGGCTTGGAGAGGTGAAGTGCCCTGGCCAGGCCACACACAAGTGAGGTTTGGCGCTTGGGTCTCTTGACACTAAATCTATTGCCCCTGAGATAATGTATGCAAAAGCTCTTTGTAGCTTACAGTAAAGTGTTCTCATCGATGCTATATAATGGGAACTGTGACTGTCCAGGCAGTCATATCTGAGGGAGGGACAGCCTAGAAAGCCAGTGGGGGGACATTAAGTAAAAAATTCATTTTTATCACCTCCCAAGAAAAATACACCTAAAATCACAAAAATAAATCCATAGCAACATTAATCAGACAATTGATACCGACTATAACTTCATCTATGCATTAATTAGAATTACTTTTTAAAAATATAACAGATCTGGAAGAAAAATAAAAAAAAAAACCTATCCCACTGGGCCACTGCCAGTCAAAGGCTTGACTGAGGCAGCTAAATACCATGAATAATTCTTAAAACTCTTTTTATTTTTGGCAATAGGATTACTATTACCTCTCTTTAAATGCTTTGATTAAACTTTCCAAACAGCTCTTGTTACAATTGCCATGAAATAAAACAGCCCACCAACATGATAATAGAGAAGAATGAACATGATTACTTTTTTCTTTAAAAAAGGATTCCAGGGGAACAGATTTGGAGAGAGATGCAAGCAGTTGTGGTTTACAACATAGCTTGAGAGTGACCTGACAGGTTTTAAAGTAGAAAACTTCATAGTCAATTAAAAGTAAAAAATTTTCTACCAAAAATTTCCCTTAATACCTTCACATGAAGAAGTTGGTTGTCAGCTGCTATAAGCTGAGTGAGGTTCTCCAGTGTTTCTAAGTCTTTTATTTCATCAATATTGTTATTGCTGATATTTAATATAGAGAGGGAATTCTGTAAGAAAATTAATTAGGACAAATATATGTTAGGAAACTACCCATTTGAATATCATATATGGTAACTTTTTTAATACCTAGTCCTCCTCGATCAAAAATTCTAAATCATTCATATAATCTCTTTATTTTCTTTATCATTCAACAATCTGTAATTTTGTTGCTGTAAGTTATCATTCCACTGACAGTTTGCTAACCCTCCTATGACTTAGTTAGCTTACAATAAAATTCATAACCTTGTTGCCACACTCTCTGTGAACTTGGCTAGGCTACTTCTTAGACAACCAAGATACAGATTCTCTATCACTAGGTCTGTCCTCTACCCTGCTAGGGTGCATGCGGTGTTCAGGAAGACTACTACCTCTGGTGTGAGGGCTTGAGGAGCCTTTCTCAGGGCTGCTCGTCCACTTTTGGTGTCCACTTGATTCACCCAACTGTCACCCGTGGCTCCAACAAGCATAGAAGCCACTTCCCAGTAAACTGTTTCAGGCTGAAGGTAACTGACAGGCCTCAAAACCTATTGGTAAGTTAGGAGAATGTCTACCCAAAGCATGTGAAGACTTCCCTGGGGGGATGAGAACAATTTGTTCCAATGGTGGCCATGAAGATGGCTGAAACAAGACACTGTGGAGCACTCAGACATCAAAGCCATCAAAGATGCCAAGGTCATCCACTGCATCATGGGCCACTGCCAATCATTTTGATTTTTGTCCTGACACTGGATTTTGATGACTCAGGAAGACCGAGGGAATGAGGCTGATGACTGTGTAAAACTCTGCCTCACTTAAATCCAATTTACAAGCAAGCCTAGACATCACTTCATGATGTCATTGGTTCTCTTAGAAAATGAAGGATAACAACAACTCTCACCCTGTTGGAAGCCCTTTTGGTTTGGGAGGAACTCTGCTGACAGCCTTCAAGAACCCAGGGTCACCCCAAGTCACAAGAGGGCATCAAACTTAAGTTCATTATGTAGATAAAATAAAATGTTATATTTCTTGATATGTATAACCAGAGAAGCTTAGAGTTGGAAAGAGGGTGGGTTGATGTGCTCAAGGTTATACAACTCTGGTCTCCGGACTCCCAGGCCAAAACTCATTCTACTATACCATTACTATATAGGAGGAGACTTCAGGAATTAGGATAGTGGACCTTGATATCTCTGACTACAATATCTCCAATATCCCAATCTGCTCCCAGTGCTGTCTAAAGTCTTTCTTCTTTGTGAGAGAATCTGGGCCACATTAAGGGGCCAATACATATCCAATACTCTTGAAATCTCTACAAGGCTCAAATCAAATCTGTTGCTTTATCTTTGGTTCTGAAGACAGGACAATCTCTTCAAATTAGGTCTCCCTGATGCCTAATTTCTGTCATCCAATATACTAGCTATCTCTCTCAACTTTTTGCTATCTGCAAATTTGTTAAATTTCATAATGATATGGTTTCTAAAAGTTCACTAAGGTCACAAAAAACCCTTATAATCAGTAGCTTTATAGGTTTTGCCATGGATTTTTTCCTCTGAATATGTTTTAAATAAATAACAGTAATAGGGGCAGCTAGGTGGCTCAGTGGATGGAGCACTGGCCTTGGAGTCAGGAGGACCTGAGTTCAAATTCAGTCTCAGACACATAATACTTCCTAGCTGTGTGACTCTGGGAAAGTCACTTAACCCCAATTGCCTCGCTTTAAAACACACACACACACACACACACACACACACACACACACACACACAAATAACAGTAATAATATTAAGCACCAAAGTTATCTTTGCTTAAATGGTAAGTTAGCAATATAAAAATAAAGAAATGCTTTTTTTAGGAAATATATATGTATATACAGACACATGCTAATTATATGTCTATACACACACATATACATACAGTTAGGAGCTGCATCTGTTTGTATGTATATATACAAATATACATATGTATTCAAATCAACAAATGTTTATTGTCTACTCTGTGCAAAACTAGACACTGGGATGGCATACAAAGATGAGTAAGAAATCATCCTTGACTTCAAGGAGCTTATTACACACACACATACATACTACCACACATGTTCACACTAACGTGTCATAGGTAGTTAACAAATACTGTGATCATGTCACTCCTAAATGGTTCTCTAATGTACTGGTGCCTGAAATTCCAACATTATTCATTCTTGTGGGTTAAGGTATTAAAGGTTTAGAGGATCACTGTTAAAAATGCAAATGTTATTTGAAATAGGTGGTATATAAAGATACAAGTCTATTCTATATCTACATGTATGTGTTCAATTGTTTTTCAGTTGTATCTGACCATTTCCTTCTCAGCTCATTTTGCAGATGAGAAAACAGGCAAACAAGGTTAAGTGACTTATCCAGGTTTACACAGCTAGTAAATGTCTGAGGCCGGATTTGAACTCAGGTCCTCCAGATTCCAGAGCTGGCACTTTATCCGCTGAGCCACCTACCTTCCCTCTATATCTACACAGATATGTATTTTTTTTTAGGTAGCTACGTGGTACAGTGGATAAAGTGCTAGACTTAGAGTCAGGAAAACTTGTGTTCAAATATAGTCTCAGACACTAGCTGTGGGACCCTGGGCAAATAATTTAAACTTCTGTTTGCCTCAGTTTCCTTGTCTGTAAAATGAAGATAATAATAGCACCTACCTCCCAGGGTTGCTGTGAGGATCAAATGAGATGATATTTGTAAAGTACTTTGCAAACTTTAAAGTGCTATATAAATATATATTAATTTCTAATGTACACAATATCAATCTATTATCCTCCACTAATCCCCTTTATAATATGTCAATCACCAAACTGCTTTATCAGAAAACTAAGAGATAGCCTTACTGCCAAAGACTGAAGAGTTCTTGGATCAAAAAGAAGCTTTTCTCCAAGAGGAAGCCTCTGGCTTTCAATGTGTAGTTCTCTGAGCTCTTCTAGTCCTTCTAAACACTCTACTACAGCAATGTAGTTGCCACCCAGATACCTGCAGAAGAAAATAAAAATACACATTTTGGAAATATAATTCCATGGCAACTAGTGTTGAAAACTGTTGATGAAGACTCCAAATAAATTACCTACAGCACTCATTTGGTCTTCTAGTTCTAATATTCTATCATTCTACAAATATCTTAGGGCCAACACTCATAGTCATAGGGCTGACAGGGACCTCATGATATCATTTAGTATTTTCTGCCTCAGGGAAAAACTTGGTTCTTTTTAAACTTTCTCCATTTATCTGGAATGCATATCTTAAAAAAAAAACCCCATCATCTCTTTTAGGTAATGGCTTACAAGCTTTGATCTTTTTTCATTAGGAATGCTTAGAAGTTCTCTACTTCATTAAAAATCCATTTCCCCCCATAGGATTATACTCAGTTTTTCTGGGTAAGTTAGTTCTTGGTTTATAAACCCATATCTTTTGAGTTAGCTAGGTGTTTCAGTGGATAGAGTACTTGGCCTACAGTCAGGAAGACCTGAGTTTAAATGTGGCCTCTGACACTTACTAGCTATCTTACTGTGGGCAAGTAATTTTGTCTGCCTCAGTTTCTTCAACTGTAAAATATAGATAATTGCATCTACCTGGCAGGATTGCTGTGAGGATAAAATGAGATAATATTTGTAAAGCACTTAATACAGTGCTGGCACATAGTAGGAATTATAAAAATGCTTATTCCCTTTCCTTTCCCCTTTTGGAACAGTGTATTCTAAGTTATCAGCTCCTTCATAGTGGTTGTTGCTTAATTATATAATTCTAAATCATGTGGCTCCTGGGTACTTGAATCCTTTCTTTTTGGATACTTGAAATATTTTTTCTTTCATGGGGAGACTCTTAAATTTTGGCTATAACGTTCCTGGGGGTTTTCTTTCAGGAGGTGACTGGTAGACTATTTCTATTTCTAGTTTGCCGTCGGGTTCTAAGAGATCTGGACAGAAGTCTTTCTCCCCTCCCCTGCCCCAATTTCTTGATATAGATGTTGAGGCACTCTTTTTGGTCATGGCTTTCCGATGGTCTGGTGATTCTTTAGATTTTTCTTTGTTTTCCAGGTCAGTTGTTTTTGCTATACCTTCATTATAATACTTTTTCTTTCATTTTTTCAGTTTTGATGTTGCTTTAATATTTGTTGTCTCATTGAGTCACTGGCTTCTCTTTGGTCTGTTCTAATTTTCAGTTTGCTGCTTGGGCAAGGTTTCATATCTCATGTGCTTAAGTTCATATCTCATGTGCTTAAGCTGTTAATTCCCTTTCATTTTCTTTCTTTCACAGTTCTTTTTCTCTAGCACTTACTCTCTTTATAAAAACATTAAAAAAAATTTTAAAACTCTTGCTTTCCCTCTTCCAGGAATTCTAGTTAAATTTGTGCCCAAGCTATGAGGTTTTTTTGGAGGGGGTGGGGGTTGGAGGCATTACTTGTAGTTGTTTTGGAGTCATAATCATAGTCACAATCATAGTCATAGGTCCTCCCCTTAAACAACAACTTAATGTTTATAGATAACTTAAAAGCCATGTGATTCTTCGCACCTTCTGGTCCCCTTTCGTCACTCTGACGTGTCACTGCAGAAGCAGGAAGACCCCACACAGGACTTTCCACATACTCTACAATCTCCGAACTGTCTGTAAGAAGCTCTTCCTGATCCTTCTTAATTCTAGTGCCTTCACCTCTTATTGGAGGGATTATTTCCAACTTATCCTGAATATACTGTGTTTATACATAAGTGCACAGATGTCATTTCCCGAATTAGACTGTGAGTTCCTTGAGAGCAGGGATTTCTTTTTGCCATTCTTTGTATCACCAGCGATTAGCACAGTGACTGACACATAATGCCGTTTTGTCATTTTCAGTCATGTCCAATTCTTAAATGACCCCTCCCTTCGGGGATTTTTCTTGTTAAAGATGTAGTGGTTTGCCATTTCCTTTTCCAGCTCATTTTACGAATGAGGAAACTAAGGTAAACAGGGTTAACTGACTTGCCCGGGGTCACACAGCTAGTCAGTGTCTGAGGCTAGATTTGAATTCAGATCTTTTTGACTCCAGTGCCAGTGAATGCTAACACCTGCCAGTGGTGGTATTCCAGTGACAGAGACTTCCGGTACCCAGGGTAGCCCCATGACACAATGAGGAATTAGAAGAGGATTTGTACATTTCTTTGCTGTAAAATCATGCTTGTTGAATTTCTCACCATTTAAGTAAGCTAGCTCTAAAGCAATGAGGAAGGTTCATAAAGGCAGTGGGATGGACATACAGGACAGTGTAACAGACTTCGGAGTTTGAAAGACCAGGCAGTGTTCAGCAACTACCTCAGCATTTACTGACTATATGTCCCTCAGCAAATCACATTACCCTTTTGGGCTTTAGTTTTACTTTGTCTATATAAAATGGGAATGATAGCACCTACACTTCATAAGGTTGAAGAAGATAACAGCGATAAAAGTGCTTTGAAAACTATAGACAGGGATAGGAATATTGAGCAGACCTATTATTTCATTAGTATAGAGAATTCCTGGGTGAAAAAAACTATTTCAGTGCAGGTTTATCACCAGTAACTGAAGGAGTTCGCTTTTTTGCCTTTTAGGGACAACATGAGACGACACCGAGGAGATATTTTCTCCACTGAAATGGAGAGGAATAAAACTTATAGTGTTAAGAAGATGCTTAGAGAACTGGGAGGTTAAGTGAATTGGCTAGGGTCACAAAGTTAGGTAAGAGGCAGAATTTGAAACTAGGTCTCCAAGGCTGGCTCCCTATCCCTTACACCAAGCTGCCTCTAAAGTGCAGGCTTTAGGAGTGGCTAGGTGGCATAGTAGATAGAGCACTGGCCTTAGAGTCAGGATGGACCTGAGTTCAAATCCAGGCTCAGATACATAACACTTACTAGCTGTGTAACCCTGGGCAAGTCATTTAACCCCAATTGCCTCACCAAAAAAGAAAATAATTCACAACAATAAATAAATTATTAAAGTATAGGCTTTAGAACCCTATAAATGATGTGAGCTACTTGGGAGACACAAAGGAAAATCACTCTTATTACATGCCACTTACTTTTGAAACTAAACAACTGAAATTATGGCAATGGACAGTATATAAGATGAAAATCACTTCTACATATTTACTTGGCTTTCCCAGTGACAAATATTACTCCTTACAAGTATGTTTAGGTCTTCAGGAAGTTCTATCTCAACTGTTTCAAGTCATTATACATGTAAAAATTGAAATTTTCCAGTAACAGAAAAAAATCAACACTTACAATTTCTCAAGTTTTCTCAATGATTTGAGGTTTTCTATACATGATATGCAGTTGTTCTGTAGATACAGGTGTGTTAGATTTGTTGCAAAACTCAAATTATCAATTTGGCTAATGTTGTTATCATACAAATATAAAACACTAAGATTTTTGCATAGAGAGAGGTCATCCTAAAAGAGAAAAAATATATTTTACAGATTTTTCAACATTAACTTTATTACAAAGTTCTTTACTTAATTTTTTAAAAATTAAGTACTCATTTTAGATATTTAAAGTACTTTAAGGTACTTTGAGAGTTTTTAATTAATCATTTTAAAGATTTACATCTTATCATTCATCAAGTATCACATTCAAAAGTTAGTTTTACAAACAGAACATAACATTTTGAAACACTATCATTAAACTTAGATATGGTAAGTCAGATTTTCCCAGTGTCAACACTACCCCTTACATGCAAGTTCTGGTTATTGTGGAGTCTGCATGAACTATTTCAGCTCACCTCTCTCTTGAGAGCTCCACAGGGGAGGGAACGGAAGTTTTAGAGGGGAGGGAAGGTTAATAAAGAGAATGGAAGTTGAAATTTGGGAGAAGAGGGCATTAGGGGATGAGATATAGCTGTGTGAGGTACCATGAGGGCACTGGGTATCTGGGTAGGCAGGAAGAGGAGAGGGTGATGAAGGGCAAATGGGTCAAAGCCAAAGACTAACTTTCCATTTTAAAAAATTCTTTAGGGTAGTAAAACTAGCAACATAATTCAGCTGATGATTATCTTATTATACAGTCCTTGGCTGTATTAAATGGCATTTGAGAAATCTGAAAATATTAATGTAGCTTCTAAAAGCATTTAGCAAAATAGAAAGGCATAAACACTGAGAAAAATCTAACTTTCAAAGTACCCATATATACAGGGTAAGATCTTGAGATCTTGATTGAATCAATCCAATTAGTCTTTAAATATACCTCAATTAAATTACATGTGCAAAAGGATTAGATGTCAGGATGTTTTTCAAGTATGGTACTCTCACTGTTAATCACTGAAAATTTTAAAAATGGCTAAACCATTGAATTTAGAAATCTTTTAAATCATCGCTCTAATAAATGGTGTTAAAACTCAAAAAGAAACAGATCCTTGCCTTAGAAAACTACAAATTAAAATTATCTATGTTGTATTTTTATTTATTTTGTTAAACATTTCCCAATTACTCGGGGGTTTTGTGGGTTCAGGCATTTCCCAGGCTGCTTGCTCCCCACAAGGTTGACACCTCTGCTCTAAATCTTAGAATATTAAAACATAGAGGTTTCAGAGATGGGAACACTTATTTCAAATTCAGTTTGTCAAAAGAATGCTTTTATGGATATTAACATGCAGTTTAAAAAATAAAATGGTTATTTTTTTTACAAATATCTATATAAACTCTAATAAATTTTAAACTACTAGTAAATTGAAAGGTTTTACAATATGAGACTGTCCTTTCCTTCCTCCAGCCATTTTGCTGCACTTTACACTTCATATACCCTACTCTGAAGGAAAAAAAATAGTTGTTTTTCATCAGTGATTCAGCAATAACTCTATTTTAATGAGACAAGGATGATTCTGAGCTCAGAGTAAACTGAAGATATAAAAAAAAAATCAACTGCTAACTGGAATAATGTTGCCACTTTTTATTCTCTCTTCCAGTTACTGTAAGAAAGTACAGGTGATCCTAGCATCTCTGCTCCTCACCCATCAGGCCTACCCCTCTGCAGGCCTCTACACCTGTAGATTATGTACTTGTAGGCTCAGGATTGGCCACACTGAATGAGAAATATGAGGATAAGGAGCAAAAAACTCAAAATGCACCAATGTATCAATCTCAAGTCTCTGCAGGACTGGGGACTCTTGTCCAATCTGACCTTTGAAACTTGATACCCCCCAAATCTCTGAACTTGATTTATAAGAGATTAGAGCCAGAAGGGACTTCAAGAAGCCATCTATGTCCAATCCCTTAATTAAAAATATGAGAAGTTAAATGACTTGTCCAGGGGTCACAAAGTAAGAAGTATCAGAGTATGTAATACTTCCAGGCCCCCTGCCTCCAGAACCTTCCCCCATACCAGGTTTTTACACAGATGCTGATAGTGGGGAAGAAGCTTGCTACACAGTTGGGGGTGGTGGTGTGGAAAAGGGGTAGGGAAGGGGATTTATTACTAGCAATGAAGGAAGCTTGCTTTTTTGCCTTTTAGGGGGAATGTGAGACCACATGGGAGGAAGATTTTCTCGATTAAGATAGAGAGGAATAAAAGTCACCATCACTGTTGTGAACACAGCCAATGAATGATATATCCTAGCTTGGAAAACTGACAAATGGAAACTAGAATGAAAAATGCATGAGTTAAAATCAGGCCAGGACCTTCACTGAGACATGCAACTGACTGAAAATAATGAACAGGGAAGCAGATGATACTAGACAGTCCTTCATGGAAATCTTTAGCCATTGTTTCCCAACCTATAGTACAGTTCAGCTACAGAGAGTCTGTGTTCATCCCTTTATTATCTCATTAAAAAGCTTAGGGGTATTTCAGTCCCAGACTACTTTTGTGGGGGGGAAATTAGGACACTATACTTTGCTCAGTCAGGAATGTAGATGTTGTTTTCATTGCTTTATTTTTAATTTCTGCACCAATAAAATGTTTTACCATTTCAAAAAACAAAACACAGTAAATTATAAGCTTATTTATGAAGATACAGCGACTGAAAAAAAAGTACCCTATAGCATCAGTTCCCAAATCCTACTATATTAGAAATTACATCAGAAGGAAGAATTTTACTTTATGTAAAAAATAAGAATTCTTACAATTATATCTATGTTTTTGTTTGAAAAGTTTAGGTGAGTTATTTTCTTCAAATACTGTGTAATACTCTCCTCTTTTCTGTTCTTTTGGTTGGCGCTCTTGGCAACTAGATCCAGTGTGAGTCGAACCATAATTTCTCAGTAAAGTTTAATTCCAAGGTAAAATTAATTTCATATCATCTCAAAAAGCAATTGCAATTTTTCTTATGATTGGCTTCCTAAAACTTAAAGAAAAACAATATTAGTATGGTATTTAGATAAAGAAATCATAGGAAAATTACTCTTTGATATTTCCTTCAACAAAATTTATATGGCAATACTTTACTGTTAGGGAAAAAAATAAAAAGATATTGTTTTTAAAATCTGGTTTTCCTCCTATCTGTATCATCTAATGTAATATGAGAACAACATTTGTTTTATTCTAGTGTGGTGAATAGGATCTTTAAAAATATAATATTTAGACCAACTTCTCTCTTTTTTGGTTTGTTTGGGTTTTTTGGCTTGAGAAAAATGAGGCCCAAAGAAGTTAAATTATTTAGGTAAGTTACTTGGTCACATTTATTTTCCAATAAAAGGGACTAGAATAATCCAACTAGTTTTGTATGTTCAGTTTATAAAACAATTTAACACACATTATCTCATTTGAGGCTTACAATATCCCAGTTGGGTTAAATAACTCAGCTATTCAATGTAAGCCCAGGTTTACATATCAGGAAACTGAGTGCCACAGAAGTGACTTGCCCAAAGTCACACAACTAATAAAAGACAGCCTGGAAAATGTGTTGGAATTGAAATCAAAGGACATGGAGATCAAAAATCTAGCTCTGCTACTTATTCCTTATATAATCTTAAGTAAGTTACTTCATCTCTCCAGGCCTCAATTTCAATAAAGTATAAAATGAGAGGAGTAGATTAGGTGACCCTTATCGTCCAACTCTAAATTTTGAATGGTATAGCTGAGCCTAGGGCTTCTAATACTCAGTCTAATAATTTTTTCATTAAATCTCTGGTATCTTTATTTAACATAATACACTACATAAGGTGCACACACCAATGAAATGAATTTTTCAAAGTGTGAAAGTGTACGTAAGCAGTATTACATTCACTGTTTCAACTTGGAACATATAAAGTCTGCTTAATATGGAAAAGCTAATGATGAAATACATTTTCATATGTGCATTAACTTTTAAGATAACTAATTGCTGTCAATCACCCAAGAAGAATGTCTATTTAGGTAGGATTTCCTTAAGTGCTTTATAATATTCTTATTAAAACTGTAACAAAATATACAGGTTACAGTTGAGTAATGTTCCAGGCCATGTAATTAACAGGAGAAACATATGCAAGCTGTAACCTTCAGCAGCTGAAATCCTTAATTTGTACATGTCAACTTGTGACCTCAGTTATGGTATATTCTACAATGAAACTCAAGGTTCAATAAACAGTATATGGTGGAGCTCAGAATAGAAAATAAGCACTTCACACTCATAGCCTAGAAACATACACACACACACACACACACACACACACACACACACAGAGTTTACTAAAACTACCTAAATACTATCCACATCATTAGAATATTCAGAATGCAAAATTTAACCCCACTTTAGAACAATTATGAGCAAATCCTTTCAAGATAATAAAATCCCCATCATAAACTTAAGAGGATTTTTATATCAAATTTTCTGTTTGAATCTTAGTAAATAAATCTGGTTCCTGCTTATGAAGTCATTTGTATAGCAAAATACGGAAAGGCTCTATTTCTAAGAGGAAGAATTTATTAACGGTTATATGATGACGTTTCATATCAATAGGACACAGTTCATAGTTTTTCATGGTAAGGTCGTGCTAGTGGCATATAGATCACTGAGTCCAACCCCCTCACTTTACAGATAAGGAAACTGAGGCGCGGAGCGGGTGTAAATTACTTGTCCCAGAGCTATAGAGCTGTGAGGGGGAGCCGGGACTTGGAGCCGGGTCTCGTGGCTCTTTCCGGGTCACGCCCTCCAGTCTCTTAGGGTTCGGGGCCCGGGGAGAAGAGGGAGGGCCGGCAGGGGGACCACCCGGGCGTCCCCTATCCCCCGCGGGGCCTTTCACTCTGAACTCCTGGAGGCTCGCCCGGCGGTGAAGATGTGCAGGCGACCGCGTTTCATGAGCCGCCTCCTCCTCCACACCCCCACAGGTGTCCCCCACTTCTAGTCCCCCCGGCCCCTCCCCCACGCCCGCCCCCCTCGGCGGCTCCGAAAGTCTCTGAAGACCACGTCTTCTAGCCCTCACCGGAAGGCTGCCTCTCCCGGCGGGCTTCTCCCCTTCTCCACGCCGAAGGCTTCCTTGAGACTCTTCCTCCGTCCGAGGCCAGGAAGCGGCCCAGAACTCCAACGCTTCCAGGACCTGTGGGCCTTTGTTTGGACAGAGCTCCAAGGCTACGGCCGTCCTCCCGGCCGCCGCTACTGACGCCGGCCCCGCTCGTTGCCATGGAGACGAGACGCTAACCAGCACGTGCTGACTCCTAGCGGGAGCCGGGTGGTATCGCAGTGTATGAAGGCCCGACCCTGCGGTCCCTTGAGCGGTTCTCGAAGCGGGCGGTGGGAAGAGTTCTGTGAGCAACCCCCAAGCGGTGTCCGGGCGTCTCGCTCGCCCGTCGCGGTCGCTAACGCACGAGATATAATAACAAAGTTTTCGAAGCGCTTTCCTCGCCACAAACCTCGGAGGCTGGACCGCGGAAGCTCGTGGATGAGTGAAGGGAGGCCCGCGGGCGTTGCCGAGTTTTGCTCTAGGTCACACCTGAATTAATTAATGAATAGGCGTCGGAGCTAGAGTCTCCGCGGTCTCCCGAGTGCGTGTTTATAGGTAATCAGTTGAATTTCCCAACACTTCAGAGCTCTTTGCATTACAGAATAGAAAATGTCATAGATGGTATTATTACCAGAAAAGGCAACGTCAGTAACTATGACCTCGGTCCCTACTTTTTCCATCTCCATAAAACATCTGTGAAAGATTCCAGGGTGTCATTAGGATGGGAGCTCCCTGAGGACAGGAACTCTTTTTTTTCTTCCCCCCCCCTTTGTTTGTTGACTGAAAATATGAGAAAAGGTAGTCAGGGTTTTGCGAGCCATTTTTCACAGTAGTTCACGTCTTCACAATACTATTGACTGCTGTAAGGAAATTCAAGATTCTACTGACTTTTGTTTGTTGATTACCAATAAAACAAAAAAAACAAACTTCGCATTTGATTCAGTCTAGCAAAACACTGTATCTAAGACTCGAAACAGGATGATTTCCAAGCATATGTTAAAATACTCAAGATTCCCTGATAAATGAAAACATGCAAATAACTTTAGCGATCCTTTGATTATCAGTATCAAAAGAGACAAAGGAAATGTTAAAGAATGCTTGCTAAACATGGCAATCCCCGTCAAAGAATATGAAAAAGAACAAAGTAAAGTGCACAGAAGAGAATAAAAGAAAACTTAAAAGGAAGCAAAGAAAAAACGGAGGGCTTGGAACACAATGTGCAGTATTTATCTTATATAGGCTTTCTTGGAATGGAAATTTATTGCTGTTTATTTTGAATGCTCTCACATTCTGCTGTGCACATGGCAGTGCTCTTTTTCTTTTTTTCTTTTGTATTCAAGTTTTAGTATTTAAGTTTGTTTCTTTTTCTTTTCTTATTGTTAAGTTATATATGCATGACTAGAAAAAGAGGTGGACCAATCACAAAGCAAGACAGGTGGTCAAGTCCGAGTCTTACACTTGGCCATCCATGAACATTTTTATTCCTTTCCAGTTTTTTATAAGATAGGCTTAGGGACAAGATTTGTGATTTCATTGGGATAGAGAACTCCCAGATGAGGAAACTTCTACTAAGCAGGTTATTAGACTTTTATCAGTGATACAATATGTGATGAAAACATATTTTTTCAATTGTCAATATCCTAGGTGAAAGATTTCATTCATGCATACACTGTGATTTTATGTAATGAAAATTGTTTTCTTTTTTATGATCACATATTCCTTTGGTTAAAGATTGCTATTAGTATTTTTGTATTTGTGGGTCTTTTTCTTTTTTTGATTAGAAGTGATATCACTGGGTCAAAAGGTATTTGTAATTTAATGACTATTTGGACATAGATGAAAATTGCTTTTCAGAATGGCTAGGGCAATTGATGACTCCACCAACAATGTATTAGTATTCCTGTTTTCCTGTAGTCTTTCCATTATTTGTTATTTTTCTCTTTTGTCATCTTTGTCAATGTGATGGGTATGAGATAGAATCTAGGAGTTACTTTAATTTGCATTTGTCTACTTATTAATGATTTGTAGCATTTTTTCATATGCTAGTTAATACCTTAGATTTTTTTTTTGAAAACTGCCTGTTCATATCCTTTGGTGTCTGTTGTAATATATTTGAATTAATTCCTTACATATCTTGGATATGAGACTTTTATAAGAAACATATTGCAAAAATTTTCCCCAGGTTCCTGTTTCCCTTGTAATTTTAACTGCATTCATTTGATTAGTGTAAAACCTTTTAAATATTGTTATCAAATTTTTTCATTTATTATTTTGTGATTCTCTCTGTTACTTGTTTAGTCATGAACTCTTCTCTTATCCATAGATAGGAAAGGTAATTTCTTCCTTGTTCCTCTAATTTGTTTATGTTACCTTTTATTTCTAAGTTATATATCCATTTAAAGTTTATTTTGGTATATGGTATAAGATGTTGGTCTATACCTAATTTCTGATAGAATGCTTTCCAGTTTTCCCGGTAGTTTTTATCAAATGGTGGGTCTTTGGGTTTATTGGAAACTATCCTACGCTATGTTGCTTCCCTAATTTGTCCTACTGACAGACTTCTATTTTTTTACTAGTACAGTAGTATGTTTTGAGATCTGGTACTTCTAGGCTTCCTTCTTTCCCACATTCTTCATTATTTCGCTTAAGATTTTTGACCCTTTTGTTCCTCCAGATTTATTATTATGTTTTCAGCATTTATAAAATAAACCATTTACCCATGAAATATTAAATGGCCCAGAATAAGGCCTTCAGATGCACTGGGTACATGCTTTATATCAAGGATTCATGGAAGGATCTGGACTCAAATTACACAGGATGGGAAGGCACAGATGTCTGATGGAGTATCCAATTCAAAGATACCACAGATATATGGAATTATTGAAGCACTAAGTGGATCAATCAACAATTAATCAACAAGCATTCACTAAGTGCCACTAGAAATACAACTATACTAAAGGAAACACTTCCTATTTGCAAGGAGCTTATGTATTATTTTGATTGTTTTGGATTTAACCTGACCAATCATTTACCTATTTATTCCCCTTGGTACCAATATAGTGTCTTGAACATATTAGGTGCTCACCAAATATTTTTGAATGAGTGAGCCCTATTACTTAAATAATTGGGCTGGAGATAGGCATTGGATCTGTGGTTTCATTGGCACTTTTTCTGCAACAGTCTTAGAAAGTTGCCTAGGGAATTTCAAGAATGGGTATAATCAGTGATTGAAATGTAAGCTCCTTGAAGACAGGGACTGGTCAGTCTTTTTTTTCCTTTGTACCCTTAACACCTAACTCAGGGCTTAGGACAGGTGTTCAGTAATACTTTAAAAAAAATAGCATGGTTCTTTAATTGACCAGTTTTGTTTGCATACACCATATAAAACCCACAAACTCACAATCATGGTGGATTTATGGGAAGAAATTGACAAGAATGTCATAGGAGGCATGGAGGAGTTATGATATGTAAATCATACTGGAGGAGGTGGTGGTGGTGATGGTGGTGCTCCCACTCATGAGATTATTGACCTGTCAAAGTAAGTTACATTGAAATTCAAATTAACTTTTTTTTTCCCGAGCCAGAGACAAGGTTTATTAGAACATCAATCTGAGTTGGGTGAGATTTAAAGAATTCGCCATATTGGCCAGACTCTTAAGGAATCTAAGCATTTGTATCACTAATGCAAGTGGTCCAGATCTTAAGAATCTAAGTACCTTAATGGAGATAAGATGAATCTTATATGCAGAAAGACTGTGAGAGGGATCCAGGAGTGGCTAAGTAGTCTGGGGTGACTGGAGGAGGGGTCTAAGGAGGATCTGGATGGGAGTGGCCAATAACCTGGGGTGACTGTGAGGTAACAGAACACCAGGGACCTGGACCACTCCCTCTGGCCAAAGGAGAATGGAGTCCAGTTAGGACTGTAGTAGCCAGGGGCAATTGGGAGGTAACAGAACAGAACTGGGAGATTGGGTGAAGCCACAATGAAAGGCTAGTTGAGTGGATAAACAGCCTAAGGCAAACACCAGAGATTTGGGAAAAGTCCAAGAAGTTTCTTTTTTGGAGTTCAGATCCCATCTCTATCATTCCCCCCTCAAACAAATGGGACCCAAATTCTTTTGCAGTTAAGGGGTGAAGTTCTTGGCTTCTGAAACTTCTTCCTGCTGGCAAGGGGAATAGTGCTGTCCCTGCCTCGAGGGGGTCCCAAAGAAGAGGTTAACTGGAACTGAGCACAGGCTGTATCCAGGGGACAATGGGGGGGACATTGGCTGGTACCTGCTGTTTGCTACCAACTGTAAGTGAATGGCCCATAGTCCGGAAGACACAAATCCAAAAGAAAAGACTGCAGGGCCCAGATATAGGAAGAAATAAAAGTGTGAGAACCCCATTAAATAATTTACATTTGACCTGCAGAATTATCTGATCTCACTTTTTTCAAAAGTTTAAGTAGCACTTTTACAGGTAGAAGTTTTCCATTCCTGGGTTCAATAGTTATACAAAAGAATTTGCCAAGAGACTGACTTTCACTTCAATTATCACTGAAATTCTCCTCCCCAAACCAAACTGAGGATGTTTCTGATTTAATTTCAGTTGTTTGGGGGTATTGAATGACTACACATTAAGGTCAAAGCAGCAAGATCTCACATACTTGCATTGATCTTTTACTGACCACTTGCTCTGATAATAGAAATTTGCTACAAAAGGATAAAGCAGGGACAAGATTTAGGGCCCAAGTATGACAGGATAAAATATCCTTAGCTCTGTTTGGATTCAGATAATTCAGTTTTCAAACCATGCAGTATCAAATCCACTTCATAGACAGACTCAGGAATAGAAACGTGAGTAACATTCCTTTTCAAAAGAACATAATGGGAAAACCGAGCCAGTAGGGTTCCATCTTAGATTGAGGCTAAAATTATCCCAATGTAGACTTCCCACCAGTATTGTTGAAGTTTAGGGGTTTGAGTGCTGGGACCCCAAAATCATAACATGCGGGTCCTGTCTGAAAGAATTCAACCCAACCTTTCTTTCTGCCAAAGACAAGGTTTATTAGAACATTTGCCATATTGGGCAGACTCTTAAGGAATCTAAGCAGTGGCT